CGAGCAGCTCATAACCTGCTTCTGTCGAGAGAGAAAAAGGAAAAAAATATCCTCAGTTATAACTACTGTGGTTAGTGATAATGCACTACAAAAAAATGAGTGGATAGCATCAATTAAAATATATCAGAAAAGAAAATGACACTATTTACAATTATTTATTTACAAGTGATACATCAATTAATATAATTGATGTCATTATTGATGTATTTGGCATCAATTAAGTAAAATTGTGACAAATTCATTTTAATTGTATCATGTAAGTAAACACAAAAATGTTAAAAGTATTTTTCTGAAATTTCTAGTTAATAAAAGGAAAAAAAAATCAAAGATGAATCCATTTACGTTGTGTACAGGAAGTTCTAACCATTCGGATGGAACTCTTTCCTCGTTTATCGAGATGCATCAACCATGGTGTGGTAGAAACAATGAGCATCATTACAGAAGACTTGCGAAAAAATGTTCGTAAAATCTTCGGATATGTCTCAGTCAATGTTTTGAAACAAATATTAGCAACACAACCAGATTATGATGTCACAGTCATTGAGTGCGTGAACCCAGAGACTAATCATCAAACTGTATGCATATTGGAAAAAAAAAAAAAGGTATGCTTTAAATATTTTTCTTATATATATTTTTGACAGCATTTGTTTAATGTTTTTTTTTGCATATTTCTATAAATTTATTAACTTTTAAACTATATATGTTTTTAATCGTGGTTTTTATCTTCAATTTAGGGTGTACCTCAATCATTAAAGAAAAATCAATGGGTGATGTGAAAGACCCAAGGAGCCCACGGTAACTGTACGAACTTATTTGATTAATTCACAATAGAATTCTAAATAAATAAATTGGTTAACACTTTTACTTTTTTTCTTTTTCAAAGAGGTATGTTGGGCAGTTGTGGTAGCAGAAATTGTGAGTGCGGTTAGATATATCAAGGGATTTGACGAAGTAAAAACCGAGTACTGTATACAAGATGTGGTGAATTTTACGAAAAAAAAACAGGCCACTACTGTTATCCGGGATGGGTTTACCGGGGCTTACAATAGTAGTTGTGGGATCCAGAGAGAAGAAGCTCGGCCATTTCAAATGGTTTGTAAGAAAGAGATAACTCAGCTTATTGCTTCAAATCTTGGTTACATCCGTGAGGCAAACATTGAATACCATTGAAGATGTTCTTGTACTTTTACATGATCACCCGGTTGCATGCACCATACCTATCTTCATGCCAGAATATGGAGATATTCAAAATGTAAGTTGAACATATCATTATTTATACTCAAATTATTTACTGAAAAAAAAAAACAAAATATTTATGTTAGCCAATTTGTGTTTGCACAAAATCTACCGTGGCCCCACTATTCGGTTTTCAGAATATGTGGCCATGCATGCAGTCAATATTATAGAAATATGGCATTATGTCCGTTATTTTCCTTATGATACCTTTGCAGTCTTGACCGCAACACTAAAGCTAATGTAGAAGAATGCATTCTCCGCCTTCACCTTCTCCTTCAACTCCACTTCTTCTTTGGTTCTTACAACTATCTTCCTCATTTCAAATGGCTTTGCATACAAAAATGCTTCCTGCAACACAACTCCAACCAAGTTTCTTTAAAGAGATCATTATCTACATAAATCCTTGTTCCTCTTTTTCTTAGTCAAGTCATTTCCTCACCAAGTTAGATTGCCACTTTGAGAACAATGCGGGTTCCGCGTATAACTGAAGCCATTCGTTCCTTTCTTCAACCTCTGATTCTTTCATCTGCATCATGCTCAATAATAACACATCTCTCTTTCATGCTAAAAAAAAACCCCATGGAATCTTTTATTCCACAAAAAAACTCCAACAAAAATGTGGTGATTATTAAACCCCAAACTTTTAATTTTACGCAAACTAAACCCCAACCTTTTAATTTAACGCAAATTAAACCCAATATTTTAACTTAATGCCAGTTAAACCTTAAACACAAATGTTGTGAAACCATTAACAGATTTTGAGGTTTAATGGTCTAATTTAGAGGTTTACGTTCATTAAACAACCATTATCAACAAATCCAATCATGTTAAAAGTAAAAAAACTTTAAAATCCACACAAAATCATAAGTTAAGAAACCAAAAATCTAGATACTCTAAAGAAAAAAATGAACACATCATCTACTCAAATCTATGATAAAACCTTATGCGTACCTTGTTGTTAAACTCAATTATAAGTTGTTACTCTCCTTCTTCTCATAAATCGCTAGATAACCTCTAAATTTGTTCATTTTAACAATATTTGTTTTCAAGGGGGTTTAATTTGCATTCAATTAAAATGTTGGGGTTTAATTTGCGTTAAATTAAAATATTAGGGTTTAATTGACCTTAAATTAAATGTTAGGGTTTAATTATCACCATAAGATTCTCTGGGGTTTTTTTGTTGAATAAAAGATTCATTGGGGTTATTTTTGCATTTTTCCCCACTAAAACATGGCATGCATGAGGCTATGTTTCTCTAAATATTCCTATACAAAAAAAAAGTCTCTAAAAATTTAGAACAAAAAAGTGTCATTGCGTATTATCACTTGCCGATAGTGAATCCTCCGACATCCAATCAGGCATATCACCTTTCAAGAAATCATCCACATTATCTTTGAAAAAATAGTCCACCTTTGTTGTTCCATTCAGCATAGTCATCTTTCTCCTCTAAGATACACAGGCCATAAAATCAAGTTAAAAAAAAAACAACAATACATCCAAGAACACGAATACAAAAAGTACATGGAATAAAATGCCTTAACCAAAACAATGCCAACGCATGAGATGGAGAGCAAAATATCTATCAATTTGAATTTTACCTGGAGTTTTCGGCTTTAATTTACAGTGCGTTGTAATTGCACTCAAGCAATCTTTATTTTCAACCGCATGCCTAACCTGTGTTTCAAGCTCGCAACTCAAATTACCTATTGGATCCATTGCCTCCAAACTCCAAAGTTATTAAATGAGATAGAATTGAGGTTATTCTTGAGTCATACTTGTGTACAGTCAAAAATTTTAAGTTTGTCCCCTACAAGATCAAAAGAAGGCAAAAAAAAAGACAAAGATTAGAAGTGGATTTGGTGAGAATCAAGTCAAATTAAGAAACACAAAGTTCTCTTAAAATCACTTGAAGTTGTATGATACACAAACCAATAGTAGACAGAAACAAAACTTCATTAGGCTAGGGCTGTCTTAATTAGAAAGAAAACCAAAAGATATTTCACCTTTTGCATATTGTAGCAATGAAGTCCAACTTTACCAAAGAGGTCTATTTTTAGAGAAGGTCCTCTATATGGTACAAAGCCAGCCCATTCCAGATTGGAAAAGTCAAAATCGAATCCCTGAAATACCAAATGATGCTCCGTAAGGGAGACCTAGGGCTCACATCAAATCCAAAAGGACCCTAAACAGATGATATAACTACTCAAACATTGAATCCATTTATAACTTCACATATTTTAAAATGGTTAAAAGTATGGAATTCATGCAAATTGATAACAACCACAACAAAATTCAATTACCCGAGGATCTCTTGCTTGTTGGTTACCTATCTTCCAGTCCATACTACCCATCATAACCGGAGAATAATTGTTGGTGTAGCGAGTTTCTTCGTTGTGAGAGGTTCTTCTCGTGCAAAGGACAAAAATCTCTGAGCTTCCAGCTTCTTATTACTCGGAGTTGTTTCCTCGGTCGAGTCTCTGGCTTCTCGCTTCTACATGATGTTACCCATTTTTGGAAATCTCACTAAAACCTAATTTTGAAAGAGAATTCGAGAGAAATGGATCTCAAGAACCAATAGGTTCGAAAATTTTGCTGCCAAATAAGAAATCTATGTGCATCAAGCCAAACCACAATTAATAATCAGGAACGCACACTACATTTCAGGACTTAAAATTGATTCAAGAGAGAAGTGATTGACTAATAATTAATTAAACACAATTTGAACATCTACACGGATCAAAATTCACCATGGTTAGAATAAAATCAAGCGTCAACATAAACAAAATCTCTCATCTATAATAACGCCTCATAAAGTTATATACATACAACTATTTTCAATATTATGAAGTTAAAGACATCTCAAGTTCTATGGTTAGATATATAGATAGTTCAGTTTCATAACTCACGTTCGTCTTCGCCTATGAAATTTGACGAGATCAGACCAAGAAGAAATGTAATGGATTTTGGATTTGGGATTCCTTATCATGAAAAGTTTTTCTACTTTCCTTCGTCTGATAAGAAAGATTTATTTATATATATTTTTTTTTAATAAAGAAAATGGTTTATTTACATGCCTTAAGGCTATTTAGCCTTTTTGTTTTCTATCGATACCTTCCAGTCACAATCTTATTTTTCTATTTTCTTTTTTCTTTTGGTTAAGAATCTACAATCTCTGACCACAAAGGAAACAAATCTTATTATGCTAGAATATACCCTAGATGGTAACATAATTTTAGCTAAACTGGGAAAAGTTTGGGCCGCAAACTTCAGAATCGGTCTTGGTACTAATCACCTGTCGAAACATATAAAATATGATCGATAAACAAAAGTAAATTATTAAACATAATAGGAAATTTGTACGGATTAATTTTCTTATGGAAGCATAAAAAATATTAGACTCTAAAGACTAAAATCATGATCTGACATTCCAAACCACAATTGCAAGATTTGAACTCGTGTACAACTTCGAATGGACTCTTGATCAATAAAACCATAAGAGCATCTGCATTGGAGATATTTTGTAGGTGTTTTCAAATATAAAATTATTAAAAGTTGAGTAAAAATAAGAAAGAGAGTGTTTTTGGTTGAAATAATGGGGTGTATTGAAATATAAAATTAATAAAATTTGAGTAAAGAGAGGAGATAATGAATATTTTTGGAGAGAGAATGTCTCGTGGAAGACAAAGTTTGAGAGAGAATGAATGAAAGTTGGAGTGTGTTTAAATATAAAATTAATAAAAGTTGAGTAAAAGGAAAAGAGAGTGTTCTTAAAGTAGTACTTTTAGATAGTGTTCTCAAAATGAAGTGAGAATGTTTAAATATAAAATTAATAAAAGTTGAGTAAAAGGATGAAAGAGAAGGTATAAAGTTGAGTAAAAAAAAGAGAGAGTGTGTTTTTAATATTTGTTTATTTAAAGACATCTACAAAATATGTCGAATGTGGATGGTCTAACCAACTCAACTATCAATGTTATTAAGATTAAACGTTAAAATTAAACGTCAACATAAATATGCTCGTATCTTACAACTAGACTGAAAGTCTTTAATGTTTAAGTGCCTTAATAAATTATTTTAATCAAATGTAATTGGAGAATATTGCCATATGAATAATATAAACAATTAATTGATTGGAAATTTTCTTATTCTAAAATTGTTTATAAGAAAAAATGAATAAAATTCATTTTGGCAATCGTTTTTGTAATTTCCCCCAAAATACTATCAGTGCTAATTCATGTACTTTTTGAGATTTCGGCAGCTAGCAAGAAACCGTAATTCATATATACGCATAAGTAAATGATCCACTTCAAAGTTGTTTTCAAGGATGTTGGTTTTACATAGCTTGCAGAATGACAAGACTCAGTTCTCTGGTAAAGCAGAAGTGAGGAATTGATGGACTGAAAGTCTAGAAGGTTACCTGAGCAAGCATACAATGGTGTAGACACCAAGATAGGTTCACAGAGGTCTTGTTCAGCTGTGATACTTGTAAGTGCAATGAGAAGTAGACAAAGGAATGTCAGAAACAGTTCTACTTGATGTGCTAAAATTCAGGTTCTGGAATCAAAAGTTAGAGAGTCTAGAAGGTGATTATGTAGACAACATGGTGGGACAGAGATTATCAGAAGAGATAAAACCCATCACGAGTTCGAATATAGGAAAACTTAAGTCTAGAAGGTGATTATGTAAAGCAGAGAAATCACCTCGAAGAACTGGAGTTTGGATGACCTGATGGAGAAGACGATAATGGTGATTACGGGAGAGTTAGTAAGAGAGAGAAAGGAATTTCTATGCAGAAATGCATACCAGTTTACAAATTCAGACCGGTTTACGAAAGCAGAAATCGGGTTTACACTTAGAAAACAAATCCACCAATGCTCTAGAGGTAGAGATGTTAACATGGGCTGCTGTCCGCGGGTTAGGCCCAAGTAAGACCGCAACGGGGCGGGTTTGGACACACATTTAGAACCCGCAACCCGTGACGGGCCAACCCGTATGGGTTGAAATTTTTTTGGTCCGTAACGGGTTGGCCCATTTGGACGCGGGTTAGCCCATTTGCCCATCTAAATTTTTGACTACATGACTTTAAGTTTAGTGTTTTTATGTGTTCTTTTTGTTAATGATTTGATTTTTTGTCACAAAATTTAATAAAATATTTTTCTATATTCATGAATACATGTTTGGTTTCAATCTATGTTTATTTAAAATATGAATAAAGCAAGTTAGTCAAACGGAAAAATCCATTGATACATAATTTCTATCGACCAATATTTTTACGTTTATATTATAAATACAAAACATATAACTTATATCACCAACTAAATTTAAACAACAAATTCTTTTCCATTTATCAATCGCAAACAGAACAAAAAAATATCATCAAGTTATATTAATTATACAACGTATATAATAGATGTGAATGTGAGCCTAACCATAAAAGTGAAACATAAAAGTTTACGTACATACTAAGCCAAAAACACATATACAATACAAATTGATATGGTATTATGAAAAATCATTGAAAATCATGCTTGGTTTGTTTTAATTGTTTGTTGCCTTCTTGGATATTAGTTTAAAAATTTTATTTTGAATTTCAAGTAGAGATTGAGGTGTTTGAGTTTTAATTTTGAGTTAAAGACTATGACTCAGTTTGAATTTTTAAAATTTGATATTTTGATGTGCTATTGATGTTTCCAATTTGATTTGGATTGAAAAAAAATCTTAGACGAGAGTTTCCTTTTGATTCACATAAACTTTGTATACTAGATATTTGAAGTAATTAAAACACGTTTCTTTAGTCTTGGTTAATGTATTCGCGTTTGACATGTGCACACAACAAAGCCTTAGGAGGGTTATTGGTAGATGGATTTTTAAAGATTTTGAGAATTTGTAGATTCCATTGTTATTGGTTGATGAATTCTTTAATTCTTAATAAAATTCATTGTTATTTGTTGATGGATTCTTACATTCCTTTTAAAATCCCTTGTTATTAAAAGTTTATGTTTCATTGATTCTTCAATTCTATTAAAATCTAATGTTATTGGGAGATGAAATCTCTTCAATTTTACTCATACACCAAGATTCTCAAAATACTATAGATATACATAAGATTTTTGAAATCCATGTCAACGAAAACATATATTCATAACACAACCAAAACCCAACAAATAAAACAACTATTATTATATTATACTCCATGTGAACATATATATTCATCATTGTATCAGAAACGCTAAAATTTTAATTTACTATAAGACAAAAAAACGAGAAGAACTTGCTTGAATATTAAAACCCAGATTTTAAAAATATAATAACTAATCTCAAATTATAATTTCGATTAAACAAAACTATCTCAAAACACAAATTTTGCA